CTATAAAAATTGGCCATTAATGCTCCAGCTGGAGCACACAAAAAGCACAATTAGATTAATACTAGTATTAATCTAATATTAAAAAATTCAGTATTTGCTCAACAACATCAGAACGCGTTGAAACCTTCAGAATACAGAGTGTTTAAGCTACTCTACATCTTGTTTATAGAAGTGGAAACAGACTAAAAAATGGTCTTTGATATCTTTTGTCTTGAAATAGTAGGTATTAAAAGTACCGGTATTAAAAGTACCGACTCCAGCGAGTCCAAAAGAACGTTCAAAATTTGAAAAAACCTTAAGCGGTTACAATGCTTCTATTGATGATGATGAACGTTTACCTAATCAACATTCACGACCTTCGATGCAAAAAATGTCTGATGATGGACTTTTATTATTTGAACGTAGTGGTCAGTTAGTACCACATTATCATAAATATGATGAATTAAATGATATAATTAATCAACATTTGCTTAATGATAACATCGAACAATTTCATATGACTGATGGTTCGAAACATTATCAAGTTGTTTCATCATCACCCTTTTTTCTGAATTCTGATATGTCTCTTGCTGATCAAATGAAACAACAAACATCTATCATAACCACTCCATCGTCAACGGTAATGACACCTCAACGCTCAAAACCAAGTTCATCAACAAACGTAGTGACATCGCAATCACTAGCAAAATTTGCATCGAATACTGCTAATTTAAAAAAACCAATACTGCATGTAACATTTACACTCTGTGAATGACGTATCGGATAGAAAAAAAAGGTTTTTCAACAAATTTACGACACAAAACCAATAAAGGAAAGTATTTATCTTGTTCAAAAATCACGTCACATAACAAAAAATGAAAGTCAGTAATCAGGAAGTATAATTTGAATAATAAAAATACATACTTTGACCAACATTATTTTCTGTTAATATACTTGCTTTGCAGTTATTGTGATTTTTCTAGATGAAACTAAAATGAAAGAAAATAAAGCTTGATAATCCATTAGCTCAAACTCTATTCTTAAAAATATATTAATTACTTGCTGGATGTACATCTTAAGGCTCACAAGCGTGTTTCTCACTTGCGACTATAGACATATGAAAGATTTTAATGGTTCAACAAGTCCAATTCAAATATGGTCAACTGAAGAATAAGAGTGAAAGGAAATGCTTTGATAGTAGATAAATATATACAATTAAATTTTAGAAGATTAATGCCATTTTACTCAAATTTACATATGGTTGTTGCAAAGGTGAGCGAGCACACGGATTTCTGAGTACGAGTATTTTCTGTATTTTTCGGTGAATCCGAAAAAAATTCCGAATAAATCGGTTGTTTGATACGCAACTAGTAAAAAAAAGATCACCAGTTTTTTGGGAAGTACTGGAGTCTTTTTGGAATACTTGTTAAAAAAAGTCCAGAATACGAGCACTAGGAATTTTGTACTCGAGTATACTCGTACTCGCCCATCTCTGGATTGCTGTCGATAAAAACCCGGAAACATGTGCTTAGAGTCGTTGACAACAGTTAAGACACAAATTTTAACGTTGAGTATTTTCTAGTTTTTGAAGCTATTTCTCAATGTACAAAAACGATTTTTAATTTAGGCAGCTGAGGCGAGTTAGATGCGTCGATCTATGTAAAAATGTTTAAGTTTTCTTTACTGATTAGTTTTCAATTAAGACCAGATTGAAGACTCCTCCGAATTTCTTTTCTTTCGTTTCTGTACCAAATCTGCAATCTAATCGTTAGAATATATTAAAGATAACTTATAGCTGAATTCCTATAATACAGTTTTGCTGTTTTCACTAGTATATCTGCTGATTGAACAGTATTTTTCTGATTTTTGTACCAGTTTTAACTTCGTTGTTTCTAGCAATTGAAAATACAAGGCTTTCTATTATACGAGAAATCTGAATTACTCGATTAAGTATATAATATTTTGTTAGATGATCTAATTTTTGATTAAAATTCACTATTTACAACAATTTAAACTTGTTTTCATGCAATCCGAAGGTTCTAAACCTAACGACAGAGACGTCCGAAGGCATCAGGAAAAAGATCCATAGTGCCTGAACCAGGCTAATTTTCTAAAGCTGTCGTAGAAAACCAGTGTTACGGGTATTTTTGGATAGCGATTTTGCTGGGAAAAATATTGGTTAAAGTGCCCTCTTTCGATTGTTGAAAACTGCAAGTCTCTTTCTTTTATCGTTTTGGAGTTATTCGAAAACTAGCTACCGGTCTTATATTTTGGCGTCGATATATAGGTTTGGTGTAAGACGTTTGCGTTGTTGATTACTGAAGAACTTTGTCAATAAACACTAGAAGGCATTTTTTACAAGTGTCCAGTGTCTATCAATATTAATGATCTTAGCGTGACAAAATCAGAGCGTGTGTGTAGTGAACACTTCTCCACGAGTGATATCATTTACTTAGATGGGAGAGCATCACTGGCTGCAAGTGCTCTACCCATTAATTCGAACAAATCAGGTACGTATAGTTTTGTCAAAGATTTCTGTACAATAATCTCATGATTTTATGCACATAGATGGTTCTGGGCGAGCGTCACGCTCACGTTCACATTCTGAAATAGTACTTGAAGGAAATACATCATCGAGCGGTCGATCTCGTGCATTATCAGCCAGCTCCAACATTGCTGATTTTTCACAAGATGATGAAATTCAACTTCTTCGTGCAGAGATACTATCTTTGAAGTTACAAACGATGCCTCCATCATTTAGAAACGTACGAGAATGATGATGAAACAATATCGCTATATACTGAATTTCCATCATATGCTATAGCTAGGCTAGTACTCGATTTGGTGGATCCTGGATTGAATGGTACGTTTAACAGAGCGTATTTTCGTATACTTTAATATTCATCATCTCTTTCTTCAGGTTGCAATATCTTAGATCGACCTGGAAAATCGATAAGCAAAGCGGAACGTTGTTCACTCAATGAGAGTCAACAATTTTTGCTAGTATTTATGAAATTACGGCAAAATTTTCCATTTCTGGACCTTGCTAAGAGATTTAAAATTGGAAAAACGACAGTATCAAAATATAATACTTCCAAAATCTGAATCTATGCGAAACTATTGATACTATTGCTCGTTTTATAAATGTTTCAGATTATTCGTTCGATGGATCAAGTTTTTGTACTTAAGATTTGCAAAAATGCCTATGTTTCTAAGTACTGAATATGTACAACAACATCTACATCCATCAATCAGTTCGTTTCCAAAATGTGTTCTGATCATAGACAGTTTTCCTGTGTATGTTCCAAGACCAAAAAATTTAACGGCTCAGTCCATCACATACAACGATTACTATGGTGGAAATGTCATGAAAGGATTGATTGGTATTGCTCCTACAACTGATTTTCCAATCGTTTTTTTCTCCGAATTATTCTCTGATGCAATTTCTGACAAGGAATTGGCAATACGTTGTGGTTTAACAAAACTAAATTATCCTTCAAGCATTGAAATAATGGCAGATAAAGGTTTCCATCTTCAAGATGTTGAACAAGAAAAACAGTGGAAATTCGTAAATCATTCTTGGATGAGTCTGGTCAATATAGTTCAACTGATATTGGAAACAATATGAAAATTTCAAGTGTTCGTATACGTGTAGAACATGCTATCGGCAGAATGCATATTTTTCGTATTTTGTCTACACCTATTCCTTATCAACTATTTTCTTGTAGAAATCAAATTGTTTTTATTTGTACTTTTTCCTCGAATTTCATGTATAGAGACAAAAATGAAAAAGTGAAGTCAAAAAAGTAGAAATATATTGAAAAAGAATTAAACAAAATCGTCATCATCGTCTTCATTACAAAAAGATACATAAGCACAAAAATCATCTTGTTCTTCTTCTGAACTGGATTGTGCAAATACCGGAATGTCACCTGGAACATCATTGAAAAAAGGAATAGTGTATTTACAATAGAAGTTGTGTAAAACAGGAATATTTTTCAGAACCCAGTTTTTACAAGGAAATATTCGCTCTATACTTAAGCCCTTAAACGTAAAAACGATAAAATCGCAATGAAAACTTTATTCTTACCTAAGCGCGATCAGACTAGGTGAATATTCTCCAGATAATAACACAAAATAAACGTTCTATATCAGATGTGTTAATGTGACTTTTTGATTTCATATTAGTGACAATAATTCTGAAATGTGTCCATAATGTGAAATAAATCTGAAGACACTTTAAAAGTGAAAAGAATAGAAAAGGAAATGAAAGACAAAAATATATATTATATCTGGACTAAATTTCATTAATCGGTCACAAGAATTTTAGTTAAGCAGACTAAGAAAGGCTTGATCTCATAAGTGAGGTACATGAATAGACTCAATTTTTCACGCTGATTCCGAATATGATCTCAAAATCAAAAACAAAGTTGGGGAACACAACGAGAAATTTAAAATACAGCTATATTCCACTGTATTTGACCTTTAGCAGCTGAATATGTGTACTTAACCTTACTAAAAATTTCAAAAAGATTTTTTGCATGCGCTGTAGATCTCTTCCATCATATTTGGGTTATAACTGATGTCTTCTCTTTCCAAATCCACCTGATGAGGCCTTTAGGACAGAGACCGAAACTGGCTGCGTCAGAGTTTTTTAGCTCTTTTTCTGCAGTGAGTCGAGGAGAGCCCGGAAGAGACACAATTTCAAAGCAATTTTCAGAGTATGAATCGACATTAGCAAAATATCATAAAATTAGCTATCCAAAGTCAAGTTATTTTAAATCTCTCCCTCTGCTTAATTATTATTAATTGATCAGACACCTTATATTTGGTGTAAGCTTTTACAATTTAAGCCAAAGCGTTCTCGGCAGGACGACTTTCAAACTTCTAGTGCGAAAGTTCATAGTAAATTAGTAACATAATAGCCGAAACAAATATTAAATACCGGAATCAATCGTCAAGATTGATAAATTTAAAGTTTAGTTACCGGATGTGGAGATAGTTCTTAGAAAACTTGATCCTAGCAGAGCTTGTGCTCCTGGACTTACTAATCGGATGTTAAAAAACATGGCTACTGCAATAGTGGAATCAGTCACTAAATTAGTTTATGAGCCTTTTGAAACGGCAACTTTTTCGGATAAGTGAAAGATTGAAACTGTATGTCCAATATTTAAAAATGGTGATGCGCTTGATGCATCAAATTATAGGGCAGTGACCTTGTTGCAGGCTTTATTAAAAGTCTCTGAAAGATTAGTACATAGACAACTTTACACACACTTAATGAAAAATAAATTATCATCCGTCTATCAATCAGGTTTTGTAACCAAAGATAGCATGGCGAATTTGTTACTAGATGTAATTAGTAAAATAAACACTGTCTTAGTTGAAGACAAATATGTACGTGCCGCATTACTAGATTTTCGTAAAGCATTTGATAATGTAAACAACCATGAACTTCTTCTGAAAAAGTTGTATAAAAAGGAATGACAAAAAACACACTCGCATGAATAAAAAATTATTTAGAAGATAGATCGATTGAAACTGTTTTAGATGGTTCAACTTCGTAGCGGAAAAAGATCTCTGAGGGGTTACGGAAAGCTTCAGTGCTCGATCTCCTTCTTTTTCTAGTCTTCATTGATGATTTACCTATTGGTATTGAAAGTGTAGTTAAATTATTTACAGATGATGTATTTCTTTTAAATCATCATGAAAATTTAATAATGTGTGAGCAAACAATAACCAGAGATCTTAAAAGAATAGAAGAGTGATCGGAGAAATGGTACATCCCACCAAATCCATCGAAATGTGAAGCAATTACTTTCTGTTCGCGATATAATCGAAAAAATGTAGTAGTACCTCAACCGTTACTTTTGAACGTTTACCGATTACAGAAAAAGAAGAAGTTAAGTATCTAGGATTATTAATTTCCTACGATCTGACTTGGACAAATCACACGGATAAAATTTTACCTAAATTGTCTTCAATTGTGGGCCTAATGAAGTTTATAAATATCAATTAAGAAAAAATGTTCTTGAAATAATTTATACAACTTGTGTTATGTCAATAATAACTACGGTTCGGTCATTTATTCACTGATCACAGAAACTATGCTTGAAAAGTTAGAAAGTTTACAATGTCATGCAGCACTTAAAGGTACTTCGAAGGAGAAGGCGTATGAAATATTAGGATGGAATACATTAAAAAATCATTTTAAAATATTACGACTGATAACACTACAAAAAATAATCAGTGGATTAGCTCCTTTGTATCTTACTTCTCACGTAACTATTTGACAACCGAATACTGCGTATAGCTTGCGGAGTAATCATAGAATTATGATTGTGGCAGATAAAGACTTCTTTTCAATTATTGCATCTGAGTGGAATAGTCTGATACGAAACGATGAAAGTCTATTGACAATGAAAATACCAAAATTACGAGAAGTATTGAAAAAACAGTATTTGGTCACAGATATTTTTCCCAAGATCCTAAAATTCGCTACAAGACGTGATGAAGTTAATTTTATGCGAATGAAAGTCAATTATCCTTCTCTACGTTACTATTTGTTTCGTCGTAAGTGTGTAGATTCGCCTATTTGTAGTTGTGGAGATGGAAACGAAAATATCAAACACTATTTTTTTCAATATACATTATATAATAATGAAAGCCAAGATCTATTTCAAAAATTATTGTTTCTAAATACTGTAACGGTCGGTACCTTATCGTTGGAGAATTAAGACCTGAATGTGGCGAAAACTTTTCTTTTCTTCTTATTTTTCACTCATCTTTTTCACTATCTCATCAAAAGCTTACTTCTGACTGGATTTTATTTATCTGTGCATTAGCTTTAATATACCTGTAAAATAAAATTCCCAACTTAACTGATGCTAGAAAAGAAAAGTTTTTCGAAAAAAACATGCAGATTTTGCATTTACCAGGCGTTCGAAAAGCTTCCGTAAAAAATTAAAGGAAAAAAGCACCAACTTGGGCCTTATGCCAGATAATGCGCGTATGCTAGGGCTTTATATTAAGGCTATGTCGATCTTTAAAAAGTGTATGGCTCTGCTCAAAAAATTTCAGACAGTGAAAAAGCTTTGTATACGTTATTGATCGGTTTGGTCGTGAAATTGATTTTTCGTATTTTCATCACGTCTTTTGTAAAAAGAAGAGAATATTCTTGATCCGCGGACAAAGCAAAATCGAATGGCATATTATACGAATATAGAAAAAACAAACAACAATCAGTCTTGGACTCTCCCTATAAAAAGTTCACAAACAATTTTGCAAACCGATCTAGTTTTTTCTTTGAAGAGATGAAGTCGATGTTTGCACTTCATTAGAACAGTCATGAAACGAACTTTAAGAGTGTATGGCGCTATTAATTTCATTGTGCTTTGCCACTGAGATAGTTCATATTTTCTAGATCAGGAGTGCAAACATCGGAATTCTGCCCGGAATTCTCAATTTTAGTCATCCGAACTCAACTTCTATGCAATCAAATCATCATATTCGAAATTAGCGTCACAAACTGAATCGAATAGTGTACTTTGTTAGTCTATCCGACTACTTTGATTTTTTTGAATTTTCACGTTAAAAAAAAACTATAGTAAAAGCTTTTACTATAGTAAAAGCTTTTGAAGAAATTTTTATTGAGCATATAAATAAATTTGTACCGAATCGTGTTGTAAAGATTGAATCTAGAGATAAAATTTGGTTTACAGAAAAATTACATGTTCTCTATAAAAAGAAATGCAAATTATTTAGAAAGAGTAAAATATCTTTATATTATCTGCAGTTGTATAAGGAGGCAGTAAGGAAATTCAAAGAAGAGTGTGTCCTTACAAAAGCAAAGTATTATAAAAGAATAGATGAAAAAATCTCTGCTTCCTCAAAAAGTTGGTGGAGTTTTGCAAAAAACACTTTATGAAGAGGATGTATAACAGCTATACCATCTCTAAGAAATACTGTGGGCGATTTGATAGTAGACAGCCAAGATAAAGTAAAAACTTTGAATACGTATTTTGCACAAGTTTGTACATGGACATGACCAGACATTGATCCGCATGTTGCGGACAATTTACCGGAATCAATCGTCAAGATTGATAAATTTAAAGACCAGTTACCGGATGCGGAGATAGTTCTTAGAAAACTTCATCCTAGCAGAGCTTGTATTCCTGGACCTACTATTCAAAAATCATCTAAGTTGTAACATGCGAAAACTGTGAGCGCATGGCACTGCAGTGGCAGACTTACGTAGGCGAGCAGAGCATCGTTTTGGGGTTTCCCACAGCTATTACAATTACGGTTGCAAAAAGTAGAAATACATTTTACAAGACAAGAAAAAAGGAAACATTACTGTTTGTTTCAAAAGATTCTTTTTGTGGCCGATTATTGGAATTTAGTCCAGAGAAAATATTTTTGTCCTTCATTTCCTTTTCTACTTTTTTCCTCGCTAATTTTTCAACGTGAAAATTCGAGAAAAACTAAAAGTAGTCGAATAGGATGGAAATATATTTCGAATGATATATAATGGTAGTGAGAAATTGTGAAACTAAGAGAGAAAGATTCAAAAATACAATCTATAATATATATCAGATGCAGTAGAAACTTCATCAAATTCGATTCGAC